AAAACTCAAGAAGAAAGAGTTTGAGAGGGAGAGAGATATAGTTCCTTTAGGAATGTTTCCTAACAGGGGAGTGACAAAATAGTGAGTAGAATACTAGTCGGGTATTTTTCGGGAAACACTTTTGTGTGCGCCACTATTTTGGGTAGAGCTCAGGAATTGTTGTACCTCCAAATTATTGGGGAAGTCTCTCTTTGTATGCCTGCTAAATGTTTTAGTGGAAGTTGGTGTCGGATTTGTGGACGTAGCCTAAACGTTTTAGGTGAACCACGTTAAATATTGTGTCATTTATTTTTGGTTTCGTTGATCATTTATTTTATTCCGCTGTGCAGTAGTGTTTAGTGCCACCGGGTCCTAACAAAATTGAGGATCTTAAATTAACTTAACTTAGTACGTCTATCACTCATGTAAGGGTCCCATCACCTCACGAAGAATTAACAGTCTGAACCAAATTCATGACCCTCTTAGTTCTTCTTTTATCTTCTATTCCCTTTCTTTTCATTTTTACCTTTAATTAATACCTTTTAACTACATAACATTTAGCACTACTATTTCCAAGCTGGAAAATCATCTGGAGTTGTGCACAAGACAATTTGATAAAAGAGTGTGCTGTAATGAGAAGACCACGCGTAGTATGTGTAAAGTAGCAAGTTTCCATGAGTTCTCCTCGTGCTTATGCATAAGGCCTTCTGATGAATGTATGGCTGATACCTTTTTCTCTTTTCACTTTCATCCTGACCTACAGATCAAGATAATCTATATATTTTGTATTACAATCAGTGGCATACGTAAAATTTTGCATAAGAGCATTGTCGATATGGTCTATTATCGGCTTGCGTTATAATTGAAATTGAATTAGAGATTGTGATAATTTGAGTCTTTAGTTCATGTTACAAATTGATATTTACTTTGTAATATTCTCAAGCCACGTCAACCTATTGTTTACATACATCCATATATATTTATTTTGTGAGAAAATGTTGTTTATGTACATATAAAAGAAAAATCTTAGCAAAGTGATGTCGCATGATACCCCTAATCTCCTCCACTTGTTGAGATCGAATTCCAAAAAATTACGAATCTCTTACGATTCGAAAACCAAGTCAGAGACTACTACACGCATACAGAAAATACCTCAACAAGTGGTGGACATGGAAGAGATTTTTTTTGCAAATGCCATTCGTTTTCCAAGATATAAATAGGAGAATTTGACCATATCTTGCAACAAGTTGAGTTGGCTTGGACGTGTATAGGCTCATATCTCAAAGCTAGGGTAAGTTCAAAAAACTCCTTCACTACCAATATGGTTATTCTAATTAGTGCCAGCAAGAAAAAGTTATCAATTGGTTGCCCCAAGTTTTTGGCTACAGAAGCTAAGTTGGGATCAATTATATGTATCTACAGAGGATGTGAAGGCGATGACGATGACGATGCCGATGATGATGATGCGTCAAAGGTGGCACCAGCTGCATGATGTTGTAATGCTAGTTCCTACAGCAACATATATATATAGTAATACATATAGCTAGGTTCCCATGTTTCTTTGCTGCAGATGTTGCTTTATAGCGAATTAACAATGTTGACATCTAAAAGAGAGACATGTAGTGAAGTGAGTTACGTCTGTAGAGAAGGAATTAAGAGAGCAATGCATGAGAGATATCTTCATGTTTTCTACTTACAGTAATATATCTGTGTATCACACTATTATCCATGCCATTAATAAATGATGATGGAGTATTAATTGAGTGGTAAACCTCGTATATATGTTGTAATGATTTCTTTTTGTCCTTGTGGTACGAGCGACTAATTGCTTTTTATATTTATACATCTTTTATCTTCTTCGAATTACAAGATTGAACTTCCGGCCTGAATGTGACACTTCGAACTTAAAGACTATGGCCTGAAGTTTCCATGAGTTCTCCTCATGCTTAATGTCATGGGCTGCTTTCCAGACACGCCCCATGACCCCTTGGCCTCGCCCCATGGCGGCCTAGTAAGTCTCACAATGCCTAGCGCCATGGTCGGCCCCGTGGTCTTGGCTGCGCCAAGAAACAAGCGCGCATGCGCCTCTGTCGCCCCATCGATGCCTCTCGCCAGCGCCCAGTGGCTGGCCA